AAACATTGCGCGGAAAGAAACGCATGCCTGTCTGAGGATGGCGACGTCGGATCTACAGTAATCAATAAACTCTGTTCGAAAGTTAAATACGTAGCCCGCAGACCGTTGTTCGTTATACCATGCTAGGAATTGATTACGTTGAGCCGTCGGCTTCGTATCGGGCGAATAAAACTCGAGTGGCGGTAGAGGACCGATATAGTGCTGATTCTCGGGAGTATTGAATATATGCGGAAAGACACCTTTTTGTTTCAAACCAGCAGAGCCAACGAGACCGAAGGCTTTTGGTAGGCCACTCAGAGGCATGTGAAAATAATTAAGACTGTCTATAAATGTTACACGACCCGTCTTCATCATTATGATACTCGTGCCACTGTTGTAAACCATAATATAGATTTGGAAACGCGCCTACGTCAGAAGCGACGGAATGGCCACGCTGCGACGCGGCACATTCCACTCGCCAATATTATGGAAACAAAGGAGACACACCACCGACACCATGGCGAAATATAGAAAAAATCCTTGGTTATTGTATCTCTAAAAATTCCATAATTAAGATTATAAAAAGCGGACGGCCTGTCGGCACGTCAGACGAAGTAAGAGAGCTACGAGTGAAGCGTTACTACGGTAACTTAGTCGAAGTACTAACCTCCAGCCTCGTGATTTCGTACTCACCACGTTTACGGTTTATTTCTAATAGTGTATTCTAACGTAACTTGTTTTGTTTCAAATAAATCTTTTACTTGTTATCGAGAGTTAAGTTCCAACTTTTTACTCGGGTAACGAATCCCAAAGTACCTGATTCCCGAAAACCCTTTCCGGCAGTCAAATCTGTGAACCCTGTATTTGGGCTCACAACAATTGGTGTCAGCGGTGGGATTGCCAAAGTGTTTCGGTAAAATAGCCAAACGCGATCGAGACTCTCAAAAACCCAAGTATAAAGTAAAACAAGATCTACGTGCGTGCTATTAAACAAAACCTAAGTGAAACAAGAAAAACGGATCCAACTTCCCAAGGAGGAACCAGGATTCGACACCAAATAGCCAGAGCAACGACTCACGACCTACGGCAAGCAGAAAGACGACATCTCCATTGGCAGCTCAGATTTCAACAAAGAATGCAGAACTACGTGTTACTGTAAGTTAAGATAATACTAACTCAGCATTAAGCAAACCATTGTAAACCGAGCCTAGCATAATTGCAAATGTCTCCTAATGCCTCAAAACGATCTCAATCGCGACTCCGTGTTAGGGCAGACAGGTTCGCGATCAGTAGATTCAGATTTAAACCGCCACTCAGAGCCAGTAGTCGGGGAAAACCTCCACATAAACCGAAGAGAGGGTCCCAACAGGACACCCCTTCCTTCAGCTCAGAGAAATCTCTTACCTACTTTAGAGAGGTTAGGAAACGACAACGTCAACTTAAATAGACAGTGGGCAAACGGGTCAACAAATTACTCTCTACTTGACAATATGGCTCAGCCAGAGCAGGAACAAGTGGCACCCACAAGGGAATCCCCCAGATCGCCTATTGAATCATTCGCAATAAACGATTCCGCAATAGATCACGAAATATCAAGATTGCGAGAACAGGTCGCGGATTTACAAGCCCGTTTCCCTGCACCAATAAGGCCTAATAGGAGAAGAACTCCAACTACCTATATGACATTAAAAGAAGCCAGAGGGACACTTAAAGTATTTAACGGGGAAAACCCCGAAACATTGCCAGAATTTTTGGATGTATGTACGTATGTATTTGAGCAAAGCAACCCTGCAGATCATGATAACATAGTCTTAGCAATATTAAAGACTAAATTAGAAGGTAAAGCAAATCAAGCACTTAGACACAAGAGTATTCTCTCTTTTGAAGAATTAAAAAACGAATTAGAGTCTTTGTATGGTCAATCAAGATCCGCGACCTCATTGCAACTAGAGTTTAACGCCAGTTAACAAAAATGCCATGAAGATGTAAAAACATATGGGCAAAGGGTAGAAAATTTGCTTACAGAATTAATAAAGGCTTCAACGTCTTCAAGAAATAGCCACATGGAAAATCAAGTTATTAAAAGATTATTAAGAAATCAAGCCCTAGGTATACTTGAACAGGGACTACACGATAGAATTCGAATGATAGTCAAAGCGAATCATTATGAAACATTCCAGGCGGCAATTACTGGAGCAATAGAAGAAGAAAAAAGTAGCGGGACTCGTGACTCCATTATAGCTAAACGTTATTCCGGACAGGAAAACAAAAGAAGGACTATGCCCCCTACTCGCAGCAAATGCAATCGAATAGGACATTTTTCTAGAGACTGCTACTCTAAGACAGTAGCACCGCGAAAAAGCCTACCCACTTCTAGCATTTCTAGGGAGATAAACAAACTACAAATAAAATGTAACTTCTGTCACAAATTGGGACATAATGAACAAGAATGTTGGACTAAGAATAAGCATTTACGTCGGAAACTCTAGGCTCGGAAGAAATGAATTCTTCACGCAAGGCAGAAACTCAGCAAAAGAAAATAGGAACGTGAACAATAAAAATTGAGAAAACGAATCAAAACCAATAGAACCATACGGCGTAAACCATATCAAAGAAAACATGGGAGGAATAAACCTCGTCCAAATAGAAGCAGTAGAAATAGCCGACTCAAAATCCATGATGTTAGTCGACTCTGGAGCAGAAGTCAGTCTAATTAAAATAGGGAAGCTGCACAAACATGCATTAGCCCAAGATGAAGTATTAACCTTAAAGGGAATTGGAAATACCGAAGTAACTACCTTATGCAAGATATTGCTAACCATACGTATAGGAGACGCGTGCATTACGCACCTCATGCGTTTGGTAAGAAATGATTTTCCCATAGCAACTGATGGAATATTGGGAAACGACTTCCTCGTGAAGCATCAAGTAATTATCCGAGCAGGCAAATGCCTCCAGTTATACGGAATAACCTGGAAGTTAGAAAACTCCATTAAGAAAATCTCGCTAAAGCCGAGATCAGAAACAATAATAAAAGCTATAACGAAAGATAAAAAAGAAGGAATTATTGACAGAACTGAATTAATACCTGGTGTAATATTAGGTGGTTGTATTACTCAACCAGAATCTGAAGAATGCTTGGTCAGCGTCCTAAATACGACCGAGCAAGTGGTCAAACTTGACACTCCGACTGTAACAATCCAAGAATTGCAACATGAGTCCGTAGAGACCGATTACC